CGGAGTCGTCGGCTGCCAGGCCGAAGTGCTCCGCGCTCCAGTTGTCTGGCGGTGGCCCTCGAAGCACAACTTGTGACTCTTGCAGCTCTTGCAGCTTTTCTGGTGGCCCTCGCGTGTCTGGTGGTGGCCATCGCACAACAAGACGTGATCCCCGCAGCCCAGTTGGTGGCACTCGTAGCTGAGCTGGTGGCTATTTTGCCCTACTGGTACCTCTCGCAGGTGGTCGTCGACCACGTAGTGGTGATCGTACTGGTCGTACTGACAGTGCTGGTGGTAGTCGCCGACGCCGTACAGGTTATAATACTGGTTGTACTGGTGGTCGTACTGGTGGTCGCGCTCCAGGACCTCGACGACGATGTATCTGTACTCCACCTTGTCGCATTTGGTGCCGTATTTTCTTTATTTGGTGTTGTACGTGCTGTTGTGATTGTCGCCGTAATCCTGAAGAGCAACGGTGGTAACGATCATGATGGCTTGAGGGTTTGGCTGGTGTCCATGTGTGACGTGGTATCCCATTCGTTTCAGAGCCGATTCCGCTCTGGGTCTCGGCATGGTTGCCGGCGTCGCCACGCCACGTACAGTGGGTAATCCTCGTAGCAGTTGTAGTTCGCGAAATATTTCACGATGGCTTAGCGCCCACCGTGCCGCGGCGCGGCCAGCGGCCAGCGGGCTAAGGCCGTCCCCCCCTCGTGCGCGGGGGATGGAGTTCCCGCAAACGGCCTTCTTCCTCATCCTCCTCCTCCTCCTCTTCCTCCTCCTCCTGCTCCTCCTCCTCTTTTGCCTTCGCGGGCTGTCGCGCGGCGACTAGCTGGTCGGAGCCTAAGGCGAGGAGGCAAGGTGAGGACCGGCGCCCGGTGAGGCCGAGGCCAGGGCCGGAAGTGGAGGGGGAGGCGAACCGCAGACCCCCAGCGAAGGCCCCCCTCCTCCTCCTCCTCCTCCTCCTCCTCCTCCTCCTCCTCGTACTTTTTTTCCTCCGCCTCCATCTCCTACTCCTCTCTAGTTTCTAATACAATAGGTGACCATTCCGGCCACCTCTTGGAGCAGGAACCCAGCGGGCGCTGAGAGCAATTCCTGACAGCCATGCGGCCGGGCTGCTTCGAAGAGCCGCATCCGAAGGACGAGGGGCGAGAAGTCGCGCGAATTGGGGGCGAGAGAGGTCAGGGAGGTCTCAGAACGCGACGGAGGGGGGGCGGTGAGCTTAGGCGAGGGGGCGATGTTTGAGAAAGAACAATTATCCCAGTGCGACCCTACCTAGGAGTTGGAGCCTGTAGGAAAGCAACATCTACACCGACAGCTACACTTACATTACACCTGCACCTACATCTACATCAACATCAACAGCGAGACTCACATCTACATCTACACCTACATCTACACCTACATCTACATCTACATCTACATCTACACCTACATCCACATCTACACCTACACCTATGCTATGCTCTGCTCTGCTATGCTATGATATGATTTATTATGCTATGTTATGCTATGATGTGCTATGCTATGCTGCGAAATGCTATGCTGGGCTAGGCTATGCTATGATATGCTATGTTATGCTGCGCTAAGCCAAGCTATGCTAAGCTATGCTGAGCTAAGGTAAGCTAAGCTATACTATGCTGAGCTAAGCTAAGCTAAGCTAGGCTAGGCTAATCTAAGCAAAGCTGTGCTAAGCCAAGCTAAGCTATGCTAAGCTAAGGTAAGCTACGCTATGCTAAGCTAAGTTAAGTTAAGCTAAGCAAGGCTAGGCTAAGCTAAGCTAAGCTAAGCCAAGCTAAGCCAAGCCGAGCCCAGCTAAGCTAAGCTAAGCTAAGCTAAGCTAGGCTAGGCTAGGCTAGGCTAAGCTAAGTTAAGCTAAGCCAAGCTAAGCTAAGCTAAGCTAAGATGAGATAAGCTAAGCTAAGCTAAGCTAAGCTAAGCTAAGCTAAGCTAAGCTAAGCTAAGCTAAGCTAAGCTAAGCTAAGCTAATATGAGATAAGCTGAGCTGAGCTAAGCTAAGGTAAGGTCAGCTAAGCTAAGCTAAGCTAAGCTAAGCTAGGGGAATCCAGGGGGCGCAACTGGGGGAACCGCGGGGTGGATCCTGGGGGAACCGCCAGGGCGTGGAACACTGCCCGGCCCTTTAAGCCAACACGGTAAGAACCCTTCTAGGCAGAGCCTAGGTCGGGAATAAACGCGAAGAGAAGGCAATTCACCCCCTCTCTATACATCCCTCCACCTCCCTCGTTCTCCTCCTCCTCCTGTTCCTCCTTTGCCAATCGGAATACGATCGGATAATCAATAGGGATGTGCATTCTCATGGGATGAGGACGTCGGGAGGGATTGAGGAATTCGCACTTAACTAAGCTAAGATAAAACTGAGGTAAGATGAAGCTAAGCTAAGGTAAGATTAAATAAGCTCAGCTAAGATCACATAAGCAACGCGAAGCTAAGGGAACGTCACTGGGGGAACCGCGGGGCGGATGCCGGGGGAACCGCCCGGGGCGAGCCCCACTGCCCGGCCCTTTAAGCTTAGCTATGCTATGCTAAGTTGCGCTATGCGATGCTATGCTATGCTATGCTATGCCATGCTGCGCTATGTTATGTTATGTTTGGCTATGTTATGCTATGCTATGTTATGCTAATGCAGCGCTGCGCTATGCGAAGTTAAGCTAAGCTAAGTTAAGTTAAGCTAAGCTCAGCTAAGCTTACCCTCTAAGCAGAGCCTGGGTAGGGAATTACACCCATGCTATGATATGCGATGCTGCGCTATGCTATGCTACGCTATGCTATGTTATGATGTGCTCTGTTATGGTAAAGCTCAGCGAAGCTAAGATGAAGGTAAGCTAAGTTAAGATAAACCTGAGCCAAGATGAAGCTAAGCTAACCGCTAACCTAAGATGAAATAAGCTAAGCTAAAATAAGATAAGCAACGCTAAGCTAAGGGGGCGTAACTGGGGGAACCGCGGGGCGGATACTGGGGGAACCGCCCGGGGCGAGTTGCACTGCCCAGCCCTTTTAAGCATACCGAGTAAGAACCCTTCTAGGCAGAGCCTAGGTAGGGAACATATATACACAGAATTATCCCAGTGCGACCCTACCTAGGAGTTGGAGCCCCTAGGAAAGCAGCATTAGTAGTAACAGTAAAGCTAAGCTAAAGCTAAGCTAAAGCTAAGCTAAAGCTAAGCTGAAGCTAAGCTAAAGCTAAGCTAAATCTAAGCTAAAGCTAAGCTAGGGCTAAGCTAACACTAAGCTAAAGCTAAGCGAAAGAAAAGCTGAAGCTAAGCTAAAGCTAAGCTAAAGCTGAGCTAAAGTTAAGCTAAAGCTAAAGCAAAAGATAAGCTAAAGCTAAGCTAAAGCTAAGCCAAAGCTAAGCTAAAGCTAAGATAAAGCTAAGCTGAAGCTAAGCGAAAGCTAAGCTAAAGCTAAGCTAAAGCTAAGCTAAAGCTAAGCTAAAGCTAAGCTAAAGCTAAGCTAAAGCTAAGCTGAAGCTAAGCTGAAGCTAAGCTAAAGCTAAGCTGAAGCTAAGCTAAAGCTCAGCTAAAGCTAAGCTAAAGCTAAGCTAAAGCTAAGCCAAAACTAAAGCTGAAGCTAAGCTAAAGCTAAGCTAAAGCTAAGCTAAAGCTAAGCTAAAGCTAAGCTAAAGCTAAGCTAACACTAAGCTAACACTAAGCTAAAGCTAAGCTAAAGCTAAGCTAACACTAAGCTGAAGCTAAGCTAAAGCTAAGCTAAAGCTAAGCTAAAGCTAAGCTAAAGCTAAGCTAAGCTAAGACTAAGCTAAAGCTAAGCCTAAGCTAAAGCTAAGCTAAAGCTAAGCTAAAGCTAAGCTAAAGCTAAGCTAAAGCTAAGCTAAAGCTAAGCTAAAGCTAAGCTAAAGCTAAGCTAAAGCTAAGCTAAAGCTAAGCTAAAGCTAAGCTAAAGCTAAGCTAAGCTAAGCTAAAGCTAAGCTAAGCTAAGCTAAAGCTAAGCTAAGCTAAGCTAAAAGCTAAGCTGAAGCTAAGCTAAAGCTAAGCTAAAGCTAAGCTAAGCTAAAGCTAAGCTAAAGCTAAGCTAAAGCTAAGCTAAAGCTAAGCTAAAGCTAAGCTAAAGCTAAGCTAAAGCTAAGCTAAAGCTAGAGCTAAAGCTAAAGCTAAGCTAAAGCTAAAGCTAAGGCTAAAGCTCCCAGGGGACTGGGGGAACCGCGGGGCGGGGACTGGGGGAACCGCCCGGGGCGTGTAGCACTGCCCGGCCCCTTTCAGCTAGAGAGTAAGAACCCTTCTAGGCAGAGCCTAGGTAGGGAAAAATCAAGGCTCCGCGCAGATGTCGTCGATCGGCGCTGGCGCCCTCCCTCGCGGACCTCGAGAACTTTAAGCCTATGCCGTGTGTTGCGTTTCGAAGTGAGCTGTGGCGAGGGGACTGTCTCTCGAGGCCGTCGGGCCCAGCGCCGATCTTCGTGGGTCCGACCGCACGGCGCCCCGCGGAGCCGCATGGGCCAGGAGAGGGAACCGGGGCGTCCCTCGCCACGCCAGGACGCGACCCCGTGCAGAGGAGGGCTGCAGGGGGGGGCAGGACAGTCTGTGGAAAAAAAACACCATCTGTCACACACACACACACACGCGCGCGCGCGCGCGCAAAGAAAAAACACACAAACATAAACAAAACGCACACACACACACACACACACCGTGTGCTTGTTCCACAGATGAGGCGAGGCGAAGCGGGGCAAGCGCCGATGGCTGCCGCTCCCCGCGTGCGCCCGAAGCGCTGGTTGAGGAGGGCGGCGGCGGGGCCGCCGCCCCTCAGAAGTCCCGCCCCCCCCCCCGCACCCCCCCTCGGCTTCCCTCTCAGATAGAAGAAGATGGAGGCGAAAGGGGTCCAAGCCACCTAACGCGGGGAGTAAAAGGAAAGCCTCGGGGTCCTCATTCTCCTCCGACAAGGCCCCCCCACGCCAACGGACTGTGCCTGTGCCGCTTCCTCTTCCTCAAGGGGCCGGGCGCGGAGGCGGAAGCGCGAGCGGGAGGGGCGGCGGAGTGGCGCGAGCCCGCCGC